GAGGCATAATGCTTGCTTCCATGCTTAAAATGCGATAGAAAACAGTTTATCAGTCAGGTTTGTTGTTAAGTATCCTTCACTCAGATGATGAGATACCAAACAGCTACTGACGTAGACATTAGCATCTAGCTTGTATTTATTTTAGTGTGAAACATATTGGTATATTCTGAATTGTTATCAGATTTTGCTAGTGCACAGACAGAAAAATACAGGCAATGAAATCAGTAACATTTGGGAACTGAGTACTAGTTTCACACTTTTCCACTGGTTTCCATGGATATTTATCTGTAGGTTGGTTTACATTAATATGGGGTAGTTCAATATTTAAAGGAGAAAATAATATTCTGCACAGATTTTAATAAAAAATGAAGCAAACTGCATGCGCAGGAATCATCTTGAAGTTGTCAAATTACAGGATGACACAATTAATTTCATTTAATTGCAGTGGATAGCACAGGATGTACAGGAAGTGTTTTTTCCACAAACATGAGCTAGTTCTGAAAACTTGTTGATCCTCTCTCCCTCCACAATTCAACAGCTAAAGTTGCAGTACTGCAAACTTTTATGCAAGTAGGTGAGTGTTGACAAAACTAGGGCCTAAAGCGTCTCATTAAAGACTTTTCAAACATGTACAACAACTATATGTTAATATTATCCCAGTCCCAAGAAAACCCATGGATCTCAGACATTGCAGAGTCCATACCTCAACGTTTCATGAACCCCACCACTAAAAAAGACATAGCAACATTCATGTAAATGCCTTAAAAAATTGTGTTTAACGTCTGTAAAACATGCTATTGAGAAGTTTATATAACTTGTCCAAATATCAGCAAGTCTTTCAGCATTGGCCTAAGAAATAAGAAGTCCCCAGATTCATCCCCTGAATTATTGTAAAAGGCTACATAATCCCTTTCAGACAAGCCTAAAATTATATAATCGTTTAGTATAGATTTCAACATGACTTAAAAGAGAAAACAACCTAAAGATGTGTTAAAATAAAATTTAATAGGGACAAATAGATTTTTCTTTCTGTTTGTCCTACTGTCTTAGCTCCCCAGAACAATCTTCCTCTGCTGATGCAGCATGCCCATCCAAGCTGGCAATGGTGAGGTGCCCAGGAAGACATCCCAAATAGGGATGCTGCTGCTCCACAAGAACCACCTTCTCCCACCTATGTTAAGACTGATCAGAGCTGTGAATATGCAACTAAAAGAGGGACCCTGAGCCCGAGGGCACAGCACACCCCTCCATGTCGACCCCTCTGGGCAGCCGTTGCTTCCTTGCCCGTGGTGGGCTGGGGGAGAAGGGAGGTTCAGCACTCGGAGGGGGACCCTCACCATAGCCCACCTCCCAGAGCAGGTGCTCTGCTGAGATGCCCCCGAGGCTAACAGCAGGTAAGGTCACAATGCATCCTTTAGGAAAAAAAAAAAACATATCAAGTTTCCTTTTCCAATTTCTTTCTGCTGCAAAAGCAGCCAGAAGATATGTCCAGAGAGGAACAAATCACCAGAACTGTAGCTGGCACAAGAGTCACAGTACTAAATGATCTAGTATTTAAATCTAGCATGCAGTCATTAAAATAATACATTTTCTATTTAGCTTGTGCTGCTCCATTCAGAATGATTAACTAGAAACACAGGAGAACCTTTAGATTCAGTAACGTCTATCCAGAAACGTAAGATTTTGAGGGCTTCTTACTAATACTACAACTGGCAATTCTTTACTGTAGACTTCTTTTTTTTACTGCAAGCTTACAAACTTGTACTTGAGTAACCAGTAATTTTAGTTTATTTTGTGGGACTGACAGTCATACAGCTCATGCCTGTATGTATTGTCACTGCAATCTCAGTATATTTTCACTGAACTTGTGTTCCAAAACCAGAGATGTTTCCTGATTGTAAAGTACTTGGGCAAAGGAGACAGATAAAGACATTAATATAATTTTGACCTGTGCTGTAGCAGGTGTAGCCTGCGCTTGACACTCATCATTTATAATACTGAGCTTTTACTCCGTGTTATTCTCTAGATGCAACAGTTACCGTGGTAACTGCATCCCAGTATACACATTCTACATCACAAATACAAACGGACATTTCCTTTTTTTCCACTTGAACATTTGATTTTCAAAATCCACGTTTTTTTCAGACTAGATTACAATTTACTCTGAGAACGAGCCTAACATAGTTACAAAACTACATAGAAGGGTAGAAGGAAAATTCAGGAGGCGTGCGGGGCCATTTTTTTTTTTTCTACCGTATGCAAGACAAATATTTTACAATTAGGGAGTTTTATCTGCAGTATGAACAGATGATCAGTCATTGTTCAGAAGCACAAAGGGGCATACGTCATACCCATATATTTTACATTTTAAACCCA